AGTTGTTCCATCCTTCTGATCATCCTGGTGGCTCCTCTGAACTGGCTCCAGCAGTTCCAGGACCCTCCTGTGCTGGGCCCCAGGGCTGGAGGCAGGTAGGATCCCACCTGAGTGGGACAGAGAGGCTGAACTATGATACAGAAGCTTCTTTCCCTTGGCTAGAGAAGATTTAGTGGGAATGTTCCTTTGGAATACCCACATCTTAGAGGCTGTGCAGGCTGTGCCTGTTACAAGACCCTGCAAACCAGGTCATTCTCTGTTCCTGCCCACCAGAATCACACACATGATGATCATCTAGGTGTCAGGCACCACTCACCTGCACCTTGTAGAGGGACTCAGCAGGAAGAGGTGAATCCAAGAGGGATTGTGCAGCTCACATCTACCTGAGTAGAAAGAAACCAGGCCCAAGAGCAGAAGGATCTGCAAAGAGAGAATATAACTGGTAACTGGGTGAACCTCTCTTGTTTGTTTAGTGCAGAGCTGGGAGGAGACTCAAAACACCAAGCCAGGACTGGGAAAGGCTTGTTGGAACACAACAGAAAAGAAAACTTGGTGTTCTCTCTTCCTTCCCACTTTGGCCTTTAAGGGGTGATGCTAGAAATAATATCCAGGTCATGCTTGCTGTAGAAATGACAGGATTCTGGGATTTTACACCCTTGCAATGCAACTTTCAGACACAGGCCGGGATTTGAAGCACAGCATATTCTGAACCCTCCTGAAAAAAGAATACAAGGCCAATGCATTTGCCAGGGTATCCAACCAGTTCTCAACAGCCCCGTGTGAGCTTTGCAGACTGACCCAGCATTGCAAATGCCTGATGCAAAGCAAGTAAATACATTGAAAAATAAAGCATGGAAGGAAACAAAGGAGCAGACGATTTGCCCAGACACTTTGAGAAGTACAGTCTCTTCTGACCTCCTCTGTATTCCAGGGAGCAATTCCTGAGCTGCATTCAGAGACAGAAACAGAGTTGCCAGGCCCAGAATTCCGGCAATTACTCAGTGGAAATGGAAACAGCAACACAGATGCCAAAGGTATGATGCAAGTTTCATTGTCCCTGGAAGAATGGGAGTCCAGTATCGGTTTGGGGCTGTTTGCTTGGAATTTAAAATCAGTTGTAGTTCCACATAAATTTAATATTTAAGTCAGGGAATAAGATTATTTTATCCTCACTCCCTGGCTGATGTTTCTCTGAAGGGCTATTTTGGACCCTGGACAGGGAATTTGAGCTTATCATGCATAGAAACAGCTGAGAAACAGGAAGCAGATAGGACAAGGGGGAATGGCTTTAAACTGCCAGAGGGCAGGGATAGATGGGATACCGGGGATAAATCCTTCCCTGTGAGGGTGGGGAGGCCCTGGCACAGATGCCCAGAGCAGCTGTGGCTGCCCCTGGATCCCTGGAAGTGCCCAAGGCCAGGCTGGACAGGGCTTGGAGCAGCCTGGGACAGTGGAAGGTGTCCCTGCCCATGGCAGGGGGTGACACTGAATGATCTTTGAAGTCCCTTCCAACCCAAACCATTCTATAATTTTTTCTTTTATTCCATGAAATCTGAGCAATCCTCTGCAGAGCTAAGAAACACTCATAGAAGTTTTGCTGTTCACAAAGCATAAAACTGGAATTGTAAACCACATAGGAAACAGTCAAACACCGGAAAGAAAAAAGAATATTGTGTTCTATTGATATCTGAAAGGTTAATGGCTTACAGAGAACCATTTGGAAGACTGAAAAACAGAGGAAGGGTAGGTCAGATATGGAAGGAAAGTGGTAAAATTCACCTCCCTCACCCAAATAAATTTTTAAATATTTTAATTCTCAAGTCAGGATGAAATTTATGGGAATAATAAGTCAGGCTTTCTTCTAGTAATTGAAATTAAACAGCACTTGTTCAAGCAAGGACAGTTTCTTTTCCATCTGTCACTACAAGTAATTCCATGTGTTTAGCAGTATCTGAACACCTAGTGCTACAGTTGGATAACACTTCGCTGAAAAGTTTTCTAGCATGGTCTGCAATCAGAAAATAACTAAAACCAAATAGTCTTTTCCCCAGGATATGCATAATTTAAATCTAACTGCAAAGAAATTGCTAGACTTGAAGCCTGTTACAAATATCCACGTGCTTGTTTCATCTAAGAACTTCAGGGGGAAAGGACACTTTGATAACAGAAGGGTCTTTAATATAAAAAGCAATAAAATCCATGGATTTTGAAGCTGGACATTTTCAAGATGGAAATGTCACTCTTCCCAGCAAACAGGACTAATTACAGCAGCTCATGGAATAATACAGTGAATAGTCTACCAAGCAAATGCTTCCTTTACAATCTGATAATCCTACTGACAAAAATTCAATGGCTCTCCCGTCAACGATATTGATTTGTTCCGAACAGGCTACGAAGGGAGAGCAGGGGTCACCTTTGTGCCCGTCCCGAGGATCCCTCGGTCCGTGGGGCCCGTGTGGTGGAGCCGCTGCTCCAGTGAGTGATGGGCCGCCAGGGGGCGCTGCCGCCCGCGGGACGGCCGGGCCGTGAGGGCCCGAGCGGGACCCGCGGAACCTTCCCGGAGCTGGGGAATGTCCTGAGACCCGCGAGGATCATCGACTCTGCCCTGCACATACAGCCCCAGATCCCACCCTCTGCATCCTCGGAGCGGTGCCCAAACACTCCTGGAGCTCTGGCAGCCTCAGGGCTGTGCCCATTCCCTGGGGAGCCTGGGCAGTGCCAGCACCCTCTGGGGGAACAAACTTCACTGAGATCCAACCTAAACTCCCCTGGCCCAGCTCCAGCCCTTTCCTGGGTCCTGTCCCTGTCACAGGGATCGGAGCTGTCCCTCCGCTGCTCTTCGGGTGGAGCTGCAGCCCCCGATGAGCTCTGACCTCAGGCTCGTTCGTGTTGAACGAACCAAGCACCCCTCACCACTCCTCGTGTGGCCCCTCCTTTGGACACTCCAACAACTTTATATCCTTCTCATATTGTGACACCCAAAACTGATCAGTACTGGAGGCGAGGCTGCCGCAGCCCTGAGCAGAGGGGACAATCCCTCCCTCCGCCAGCCGGCGATGCCGTGCCTGGGTGCCCCCAGAACGGGGATGTCCCTCCTGGCCCCAGGGCACACTGACTCACATCCAAGTTGCTACCTCCAGGACCCCCAGGTGCCTTTCCACGGCACTGCTTTGCAGAGTCTCATTCCCCACTCTGTCCGTACATCCAGGGTTTCCAGGTCCTGCAACTCTTCAGGCACAGAATTCCACATGGTTAAACTCCGCATGGTTGGTGATTGCCCAGCCCTTACATTTATCAAGATCTCTCTGCCTCCAAGGGAGCCAACAGCTCTTCCCAGTTTCGTGTCAGCAAAATTTCTCAGTATCCTTTCAAGTCCTGATCCAAGTCGTTTAGGAAGAAACTGCAGCGCACTGGCCCTAAAACCGAGCCCAGCAGAGCCCCACCAGTGACTTTTTGCCAGCCTCATGTAACCGCTGTGCACCCCAAGCCTGCCTGAACCCCGCCGGGCACCTGAACCTGTGTGACCCCCTGGGCAGTGCCAGAAGAAGCCGTGGGATGCCTGAGAAGCTGAGAGAAGCTATGAGAGGAAGATGTAAGGAGCTGAGAGCTCCAAGAGATGCCAAAAGCAGCACTTTGGGATTAATTCACTGCAAGAATTATGTGGGAAGGAGACCTACTACTTATGAAGGCTGAATGCTCCATTCCCATACTTCTAGAAAAAATCAGCATGAAAATTAATAGAGAAATAGAGAAGCCTAAAAAAAGACTTTTATGTTGCCATCACAATTCAAGGCAAAACCGCTCCCTCATATTTCCTCTGCTTCAAATGTATCAGACGATAATGGAGACTTTTGCTACTGTTTGATGCATCTCATTTTCATGAAGTTACTTTAATTATTCAAATGCATTCAATGCTCTTGTTATTTTAGAAGGAATACATCGGACCTGATAGGTCAACACCATCTAGCAGAGCATCACAGAAGAAAAAAAAAAAGTGAAATTGTGGGGTTTTACTCTGAATTATAAGGTAGATTCAATGTTTCTTAAAAAAAAACAAAACCAAACAACTAAAGCAATGAAGTGTTTTTCATTGCAAATGGAATAAGATATTCTTAATTGAACGCTGTCATTGCAATTCAAATAAACTTTTTGGAATTATTTTTCTAAAATGTGGCCAGGCTTTAACGTAACTAAAAACGAAGAGCAAAGTGAGTGAAAAAGGAAACCATTTCCAACATCCTTTGGTATTATTGCATCAATAGATGTGTATAATTTGAAATAACAACACCAAACATCTTTTCCCACGCATTTTTGCATGTTTTCCATACACACCTCAGGGAAAATCTATACAAAACTTGAAAATAATCTGAATAGATAGAACTTTACAGTTATGACTAGAGCACAAACTAAAACAAAGAGGAAATAAGTGTTTTATTTGTTATTTTGTTAAATAAGGAGAAAAAAATGTTTAAAATATAGAAACTCCACTTTTCTAGAGACACAACCTTACCTCATGCTCCCATCAAAGCCCCACAGGCAACTTTGGACTCAGAGTTTCTGGAGACCTCGAGGGAGCAGCTGAAAAAAAAAAAAATCGTAAGATGAGAAAGCTGTAAGATTCTGACAGCAGAGTCAGCATTTTGGGTCAAATTAGAGAACAAATTAATGATCAGAAAATGAACTTGAGGGACTCTTAGCTATGGCTATGAACCAAGACAAGTTTAACGACATCACATTCTTGATCCTGACTGTAATTTTATGGGCAGCATCTGCAAGATCTGAGCGTTTTTCAGAGACACACGGGGAGCCGAGAGGGATTTCACCGAGCGCACGGGGCAAACGGGGTGCCCAGCCCCGCCTCTGCCCCGCCCGGCCAGCTGCGGCCGCAGGATCCCCGGGCACGGTGCCGGGCACAAAGTCCGCCCCGGGGCGGGCCCAGGTCGGCGGATCCGCCCGGGCAGCGCCGGCCCCGCACCTGCCCCCGGGGCCGCCCCGCCGGAGTCGGGCCGAGCCGCCTCGGGAGCTGCTGCCGGAGCCGGCGCCCGCCATGGGCGTGGGCTATGGGGGGATGCGCTGCATCAAGATCCTGCTCTTCATCTTCAACCTGACCTTCTGGGTGAGCGCCGAGCCGGGCGGGGCCGGGCGGGGTGGGGACACCTGCTGCGGGTACGGTGCCGGGGGTGCCGGGATGGCGGGGGTGCCGGGTGCCGGGGTGCGGGGGTGCCGGGGTCGGGCAGGTGGCACCGGCGCAGGTCCCTCCGGGCAGCCCTGCGGGATCGGCTGCCCAAGCTGAGGCTGCGGGAGCGCCCAGCCAGCGCTCTCCGCTTCTGCTCGCTCCCAAGGAGATACAGCTCTGTCTGGGGAAGCACCGGTTCGGTAAGATGACATTGCTGAGCAGAGACAGCATCTGTCTAAACTGATCATTTAAAGTAGCGATCATTTCCGCGGCAACCACGCGGCTGCAGGAGAGGTTCCTCCAGTGCAGTGCAGCGAGGTGAACATTTCACAGCATCATGGTGCTTTTCCTAATGTCATTTCAAATAGGGAGCCAACAGCTGCTACAAGTTCATCCTAAGACAAAGTCCTTGCATCACCCCCAAGAGATTTAGGGAATGCTGTGTCTATTCTCCCCTCACTGCAACTTTTCAATAGTCTCACAGTTCCACGCAGCTGAATTCACGCTTTCTCTTCTCTCATCCTCTCGCTTTCATGCTCTGTTCTCCCTTCAGCTTTCCAGAAAACAATCAGCAATGTTATCTTCTTAAATGTCTTTTTCTTTCCTTCTGATTCACTGGGGTCTTTTTAAAAGAAATCACAAAGTCATCCTGTTCAGCCACTCTGGACCAAGCAGTTTTGGGCTTTTGTCTCCTTTATGCTTGAGGCACAGTTAAACCAAAGGCTGTTCCCTCGTGGTGACAGCGCTGCGTGCTCCGGGGACACAGTGCTGCTGTGCTCAAGCTGGAGGGGCAGAGTGATGCTGCCCAGCTGCAGCTGCAAGGCAGCAGAAGGACAAAGCTTTGTGTTATTTGTTTCTCAAAAGTGACAAGTACTGTGTTTTGTTATCTGGCTTTTGGCTGAGATGGAAGGAACCATCTCTTCAGCTGGCTGGGACATTCATCCCCAGCTGCCAGGGGCACTCCACAGCCTGGAGAGGCCTTGGCAGCCCAAGGCTGCCAGCGGGGTGGTCCCCATGCTGTGACAGGGTGGCAGGGGACCCTCACCCTCTGCTAGGACACATCTGTGAGGAAAGCCATGATCCCGAGCTCCCCAGCTGTATAATTGCTCTCTTGGCTTGTGGAGTGCCAATGGATCAAGTGCCAGGGAGTGCAGGACAGGTTAGGAGAGCACCGTGCCAGGCTGGCACCCACGTGGGAAGCAGCAGGTGTTTGTGAGCCTTGTACAGGTGGTGCAGGTGCCACAGACTGAGGCTCTGGGCCTGGACAGCAGCAGGACACTGTGCTTGCTCCTGAGGGATGCTGGAGCTGCCTGCTGGACACACAGCTCTGGCTCCTGAGGGATGCTGGAGTTCTCTGCCAGGTCACACAGCACTGCCTGGCAGGCTGATGATCTGTCTGGCATGTGGTGAGGCTGAGACTTCTGACTGTAGATCTTGCCCCTCAAACAACATGCTGTGACACTCCTTTAAAGGTTACCTAGTTTTATTCACATTAAAGGGAATTTTTCCTTGCACTTGACAGCATCTATCACTGATTTGTCATTTCTGTGATCCAAGATATCTACCCAGTAACAATCCTTGTGCCTCCTAGTTTTGGTGGGGGTCCCCTGCCCCACTCCATTTCTCATGACAATTCAGGCCCAGTTTTGATGATTGAATGACTGACAAGATTTGAGAGTCACTAGTAAGTTCAGAAACACCACTACACTGAAGAGTTGAAAGAAAGAAGTACACTGCACTGTAATAGGAATTTGTTGTTATCAGACCATGGCAAGTGCAGCATGCATTTTCTGACAGTGCAATTCTGAGCTGAGGGATTTCAAGAAAGCACAAGGTGCCAAGACACCCCTGTGCTGCTCTCCAGCCGTTTGTGACTGCAACCCTGACTGCTCTGTTTGTGTTGCAGCTGGCGGGACTGGCTGTCATTGCCTTCGGGCTCTGGCTGCGGTTTGGTGGCCCCATGGCGGAGTTCGCTACAGACAAAAAGTCCCCAGAACTTTTCTTCATGGGTAAGTTCCAGTGCTGGGAGGGCAGCAGCCTCCAGCCTTGGTTGCATCCTGGGCCAGGTGATGCACCTTATGCATTGACTTACAGGAAAATCAACAATTCCTGGGCTGACCTACACAAAACTGGATATTCTGCTGCTGTGTGCCATGTGTGTGATGGCTTTTGACCTTTCTCTGCTTGGCATCCACTTCCTTAGATCTAACTAATCTCTTCTGGATTTGATCCAGTCCCCACATATCCTAAGTGAATTGTGCTAATACTCTCAGAATAGAAGGTGAGACAGGTCAGAGACTTGTGGGGCTCACAAATATATCCCTCCAGAATTTTCTGTGCAGCTGCCAGCAAACAAAACAAGTGTCCTTTCAGAATGTTCCCAGAATCAGGACAGCAGCAAAATTCTGCTTAGGAGTGCTCCCTGTGGAGGCCTCAGCGGGACCAAAGTGTCAGAGCAAATCCTTCCACAGCTGAAAAGTGAAACTACCTGGTGTTCAGTCATCTCAGGAGCTGTTTGTCCAACCTGGGCAGGAATCAGCTAGTTCCTGTGCCCAAAGAACTGGGATTAGTCATGTCTAATTTTAGCATTTAAGATAACTTTTTTTTCTTTGGGATTTCCAGGTGGGTTTTTGGGAAAAGCCACTTGTGTTTTATATCTATAGATACCCTTAAACAGCAGATGTCAGGGACTGGCAGCAACTGCAGCACTCTGTCACTGGCAACTGTAACATACCTTTACACAAGGAAAGTTGAATTTTTTTCTGTTGAACACATCAGCCCTGGAGATGGACCCAGTAAAATCCCATTGGTGGAAACATTTTTGCTATCTACAAATGCCAAGTGTGAGTGAATACCCGGTCCTGTCCTGGCTGTCAAGCTACTCTGACAGAGTGGAAGGACTGGGAGTTGACCAGAGGTGTCCTGCAGCAGTCCTACCCATCACTCCAAGATTGTGCAGTTACCTTAAATATCCCAATTCTCTTAGTGGAGACTTTGACTCAAATCCACCACAACCCCAGGCCCAGGTTTCTTTAACATCTAGAGGCACAAAACTGGCTGTACAGCCATGGGAATAGATGGGGAGAATGTTATGTCCAGCAATGTTTCCTTGGTATTTTGTGAAGCTGAATAAAACCATTCTGATGAAAATGTAGTTTGGGACCTGAGGGTTATTGTAAAACACCCTACAGCACCTCTACTGACACAGAGAGCCAGGAAGTATGATCTACTTTTCTTCTTACATCTAAGCTGCTATGACAGCAGTATATTAGATCACCGGCTTCATTTCCAGATCCAGTTCATACCTGCTGAATCCCCTGCGCTGTAGATTGGAATGTTTCCCTGCCCAATCCACTTATGTTTGTCCCAGGAGAGCAAACAAGACAGAAGGATGCTCTGGCCTTCAAAATCCAGTGCTGCTGGTTTGTTGGAAAGTGCTACATCCTGTGCTGTAAATAAGCACCACAGCTCCAGTACAGCCTGGAACACACGGTGTAAACAAGATACTCTTTGGTGCATGTGTATTTAAATCTCCAAAAGATGTAATCTGCTTCTGCCCTGAATAGAAATTACAAAAGTTGTTCAAAGTTGTTAATTTTGAGAAGCCCTGGGGAATGTTCTTGTAAAAGTTTCGTCAGACACCATGACATTGGGTTGCCACATGTATTTATAGAGCTGCCTGTTGAAATACATAACTGTGAGAGGAAGTGCTGAGGAACAGGGCACAGAGGTGTTTAGAATTCTTTTAAACTTGCACTTTGGACTGAATTCTAAAGCAAAAGTTTTGCCCTTTTTTGTAATAGGCACTGAACAGAGCATTCCTGTGAAAGAAAACGGAAGAGTTTTCTGCTGCCCTCCCTCCCTCATTACAAATCCTGCTAAATGCTGTTGTGACTCCTGAGCATCTGATGGCACAGCCATGCTGAGGCTGTCAGCAGTCTGGGACCAAGGCCATGGTAAAAGGACAATGAGAAGTTCAGTTACAGTGGGGTTTGCAGCAGACAAAGCTGTGTTTGAAGGTCATGCTGAAGAGCTTTCCCTCTCTAGGAGATTTCAGCTCAGAGTCCCCCTTGGCAGTTGTGTATTGGGCCTTTCTCAGAGTCTCAGGGACTGTTGTTTATTTGGCTCTGTGTGTTTGCTCTCTAACATGCTTTCTGGGTGGCAGCCAGGGTTTTGCATAGGAATTCTTAATATGGAACACTGTGCAGCACACCAGGAGCAGCTGCCCTGAGGGCTGAAAGAGAAAGCAGATCAGCAGTATGACTTAAAATATCAGCATATAGCTATACATCCAAAAATAATTTCTTATCTGTGTTCCGCTGATGGCTTTTGTGGCTCTTTGTGATAACCCAAGGCCCTGTGATCACATCAACTTTGTGTCAGTGCTTGGAACAACTGTGCAGGTGCATTTGGAGTTTGCTTTGTAGGCTGAAACACTCCAGAATCACCATCTTCTGAAAAACAGTTAATTTTCTTTCTTCTAAAGGGAAGCATATTCTGCTCTTTCTATACCTGGATTGAGCTGCCAGCAGAATCTAACCAGCTTCTCTCTTCTGCTTCCTTGTGATTGTTTTTTTCCTGGATCTGAAATGTTGGGTTAGTGTAAAATAATTGATAATTCTATCCTTGCATTTTCCATTAGGCCAGCGTGAGTCTCCTTAAATAGCTCCGTTCTTAACCAGCAGTCCAGCTGTCTCTTCTGCCCCTGGAATAGTTCAGGCCATGACTTGGCAACCAGGCTTGTTCATCTTTTCCAGCCACTGAGATGTTTTTGTTGGTTGGAGAACAGCTTACAGGCAGCAGTGCTGTGGGCAAGCACATATGTGTTCCTAGCTTTCTGTTGCTTGTGGTTTTGTTTGGTGATCCATATTCCCAACTGCAGTTTGCAGTGAAAAACCTACAACAGAAAAAGTTGGAATTGGATCTCTTTGACGGACACAGTCTCCAATCATTTAACCAGACATATCTTACATTGGAGCAGGCTCCTAAAATAGGACATCTTGTCCCTGCAGCTCCCCAGCTTTTGGAGTTCCCTCTACACTGGGATATATTTTTATGTTACTCCATCTCACAGTACAGTTTTTGTGCCTGTGCTTCAAGTGGTTAAGCAAAACTGTGGCTTCCCTGTTCAGCTGCAGTTCAGCTCTGGCAGAGCTCATAGACCCTCTCTTAGCTGCACTTGAGAGGGAAAAAATGAAAGAAAAAAGGATAATTTCAGCAAAGGTCCATAGCTCGCAGATACCTTTTATCTGAGTTGTCAGTGACACTGCTCTGATCAAATGGAGAAAATGCCTGTAGAATTAAGGGAATTCCCTCGGATTGCTCATCCTTATGGAGACTCCTGTACCAATACTAAGAAACTTTATACTGGGCAGGAAGGTCTGCAACAGTCAGAAGGAAATAAGATGCTTGTGGGAACCCAGGGTGTCAGCATTGCTGTCTCACAATTAATTGGTCCTTAATTAATTTCTTCTAGTAGTTACATTCTTAATTTTAAGAATAACTAAAGCACAGTAGTGGAGACCAAGTGCTGCTGAGTATAAGTAGAGGGCCTGTGAAGCAAAAACTGACATGAGGACTTTTTAAGGATCAGTTCCAGAACCCCATTCTTCCATCTCTGCTTTTGGTGGACAAAGGGCAACAAGCAGGACAAACTCTGTATTCCCCAGAAATGAAGTGCAGAGGGTCCCATCCCTGCCAGCACCAATAAAAGTGAAGTGTATGTACTCAACAAACCCCCTCAGGAATGGTAACAAAACCTGATGAATGTAAACAAATCAGTCTGGGTGGCTCTTTCTCAGCCCTGAAATGTTGCTTCTCCTGCACAACCAGAGCTCACAACCCTCCTGCTCTGTTCTTGATTTCAGTCTCATAATCCAATCTGTGGTCCAGGCATCCATCAGGGCCAAAACAGTTGTGGACAAATGTTTTAGGGTGATTGTGCCTTTTTCTTGGGGTCAGTGAGAGCAGGAGTGATGCTGCTGGCTTTGAAAGGTACAGTTAGATGGAGCGTGCCTTAGGATATGAAGTCATGTCTGGAACTGAAGGATATTAGTAGTTTTTCTCCATAGCAGTGGATGCCCATACAAACAGGAATTGGCTGGAGTTTCATCCATGTGTACTGCAGTTCTCTGCTCTTGTGCCTCACTTTGTTCAAGTTCTATTCATGTATTTTGGAGTCAAGCACTATACCCTTAGACAACAGGATTTTCTCTCCTTAATCCACCACCTCTCAAACTCTACTAGCCTTTAAAATGAGACCTGTTGGCAAAACAGCCTCTGCGTAGAGATGTGAAACCACAAGAAGAGCATTAAATGATCCTGCCATCATGTATTAGAGAGGCTTTTAGTCTGTACTTAACACTTACGCAATGAATTTGTCTTTCTTCCTATCATCCTGTGTGCAGCTCTCTTTTTCTGCCACTCAGGAAGAGTGGTTTAGAAAAAGCTGATAGTGGCCCTGAGTGGAAAACAGAAGCTGCTGCACTGGAAATTCGCTTTAAAAATATGACACCACCACTACCAACCCCTGAGAAAACCTTACTCAAAATGAAAGTTGTTCTAAAGTCTTCAGTCTCTGTTCTGGATCACAAAACCTTGCAGCAGTTCCTAAGAGTTAGTATTCCCCCTGATAGAATAAAGGCAAGAATAAATGCAAATCTGACCAAACAAGCTAATTTAGCCTAATGGAACAATCCTTCCATCTGCCTCAGGGTGATTGCTGCATATTTGCAGGATGCTGAAGTTCAGGAGGTTTTTTTTTTTTCTTTAATCACTTTTTGTCCATTACATTGTCCTCCTGGGTGACTTCTCCCACCCTCCTTTCCCTGCTGCAGCTGTGTAAAAGCCAGCCAGTCCTATCCCACAGCAGCAGCTGAGCCCACAGTTACCCCATTTCCTTCTCCTCCCTCAAAGCCAGCCTGGTTCCAGCTGTGGCTGCCCCTGGATCCCTGGAGGTGTCAAAGGCTAGGTTGGATGTGGCTTGGAGCAACCCGGGATAGTGGAAGGT